ATGAGAAAAAAATTTGTGTAAAGTATCTTATAACAAATTCTTTTTTTTTTTTTTTTTGAATGCCAAAAAACATTCCTATTTTTTTAAAGATGAGGCTATTCTCATAATTATCAAGGCAAATTATGAATATATATTTGTTCGTTGATTACGTAATTAAGAGCAGCGTTTTACACGCGGTTTCACTGCGCATGAAGGACCAAACTATTTCCCTCGAACTTCTCAACATTAGGACGTTGACAGCACGCCACGTGTATTAAGTAGATTACACTGGCGCGTGTGATGCCGTTCCACATAGGATAGATGACAAATCAGCAATGATGACGTGTCGTAGAAGGATTGGTTAAATGATGGGTGCCATATTGAGGAAAAAGTACAAACGCAAGGATTCGGACCATTCGGTTCTGTTGATATTTCCCAAGTTCACACATTTCTATGAGCGTACCCAAACCCGGATCCATACCAGGACCCGGACCCGGTCTTTCTTCGGCATGAAAAAATTATTATCACTATTAAATATATTGATATAATAAATTCAACTTTAATTTTATTAATTTATAAAATTTTAAATAATTGATTAAAATATTTAAAAATATTTATTTATAAATTAATTTAATCTGTGAAATATAATTATTAATTATTAATTAATTTTAATAATTAAATTAAAATAAAAATATAATAGTTTTAGATAGATTTAACAAATTTTGATAACCACCCATACTTTTGAGGTTGGGGTGCGGAATTGGGATGGTTACAAAATAAGGAAGAAAAAATGTAAACAAAATTTTGTCTATTATTATTGTTTTTTTGAAGCTGCATTTATGCATAATTGGGCTTAGGAGACTAACTGGAATAATAGGATCTAATCTACCAGACTTAGAAAAACAGAAAACAAGCCAAACAAATTTGAAGTCAGGACTTGCACACCCTTACACTTCCTTTAAAGCAGTAGAGGATCGGTCAGGTTTTTTTTTTTTTTTAACAGATTACAATTATTTACATATTAATTGAGAGAATAAAAAGAGAAATTCTGTGGAACTCAAATACATAATCCAAATCAGTTGACCATTATGTGTTGGACAATTTGATAGACTTCAAGAATTATCAGCTAGGGACCAAAGGCTAAAATAAAAGGACAATTGAAAAATGACCAAGTTGACAAATTTTA